AAGGGTTGTTCCATTTCGTAGGGGAATATTTCAACCCCTTGGCCCTTGTAACTCTGTTTTAAGGGCCAAGGGGTACACTCGAAAACAAGGGGTGAATTGGGATTGAGCCTTAAACTGACAGGACTTAAAAACACATGAAAATGATAAATTGTCACTCTATGATGGCTAAACTTTGCAATTAATCCGCGAATCACAAGCGTTATGGACCGGGGAGCAGCTGGCCTGATCAACAACGAAGTTCAAACCCTAAACTACATCTACTATCGCAGATGCGCACAACGCCATAGCAATGCTAAAACAATACATCGTGCAGCCCTACTTGAGCGTGTGTGTGTGTGTGTGTGAGCTAGAGATTGCATTGTGTCAATGAATGTCCTCACAAAAATAGATGTACAAGAATGTGTGGTGTTCTGCTTGTGTGCATTGGTTCTGGCTTGCCTCATTAGTGTGTGTGTGTGTGTGTGTGGTCAGTATTTGTTCTGGGCTTGTGCGCTGCTCACCAGCTCTACTGTTTCAGGACGCTCCACTCTCTGACTGTACGGACTCTATTGATGGCATTGACACTTCAGAGAGCTTTAGTCCTTCTAGGTCTATTCGAAAGGTACATCCTGCGATAATCCTGTAATGTTTGATAACATCAAACCACACACAGTTTCAATACTCTCTCGCTTTACATTGAGGATAAAGACAGTAACATTCAGGGCCTTTTGAGTCTGCACTGATGAACTCAAAACCAATGTCAGATGTGTATTGATACTAATTATGGCAGATTAATTTGACACAAACTAGGCAGTGAGGATCCAAAAGTACATCCAATATTATACCTTCAGGTCACATTTCCCCATTTGTTTAGTCTATATTTTTAATGTTTTCTCATGTAGTTTTTGTGGTCAACGTGATATTTGTGAAAAGATGTATTTGAAATGTTTTACTAGCTGCAGGAGAAACAAATGTGTACTTTTATCCCTCACAGCCTGGTTTTTGTTAGTTGCAATAAATGTTGCATCCTTTGATTAACGTCTTAACTGGGATTTGAGTTTCAACAATAATAAGACTTTTATAATAAAAGGTGAATACCAATTTAAGTGGGATACTTGAGCTTTATCTTCTATCATTCTTTATACTTTTTCATTACAAAAAAACAGCATCTAGTTCATCTTAAACTCTAATTGGAGACATTTATGAAGAGTGTCCCACTAGTATTCACTCTATTTAATATCATTTATAAGAAACTAAATTTGGTTCTAAATGTCATTGTTAGAAAGATAGGAGTGCTTAAACGGTGTTGTTGTGTTGTCCTCTTTTGGCCCGCAGGGGGAGCTAGTCACCGCATCTAAAGCCATCATTGAGAAGGAGTACCAACCGCGGGTCGTCATCAATAAAACGGGGCCAAACCCCTTCAACAAGTTCACAGACCAGGATCTGGAGGAGTATCGCAAGGAAGTGGAGTTCAAGCAGAAAGTCCCAGAAGGTAAGAACACTACATATCGCAGATCAACACACACACACACACACACACACTCCTCGCAGAAACTGATGCGGATGCCGAGAACGCCCTGTAATGCTGCTGTAAGTCCTCCTGATGAGTCTCTGCTTATAAGTTGGGACGTCAAGAAGTAAAAAATAACTAAAATGATTTTGGTCTGGACAAAATGTTTTACACTAGCTTTTTGTCTCATAAAATGAGTTAATTAAAAAAAAACAATAAAAAATAGAGAATCACCCCCCATACACTAATGTTCAAAAGCTTGGGGTCTGTTAGATTCAGAGTCTCTTCTGCTCTCCAAATCTGCATTTATTTGATCACAATATTAGTGTTTTACAGCATTTTTGGAGTATTTGCACTGTTTAAATATGTGAATATATAGTAAAGTGTAATTTTCAGCATCATGACCCCCAGACTTCTGTGTCACATGATCCTTCAGAAATCATTCTTATATGATGATTTGCTGCTCAAGAAACATTTATGTGGAAACAGTGATACGTTTTATTCATCAAAGAATCCTGAAAAATACAATGTTCTAAAGGAACAGTATTTATTTGAAATATAATCTATTGTAACATTATAAAATGTCACTTTTGATCAATTTAACGCATCTTTGCTGAATAGAACTATCAGTTTCTCACAAAGATATAAATCTTACTGTCCTCAAGCTATTGAACAGTAGTGTGTGTGTGTGTGTATATATTATATATATATATATATATTAGGGGTGGAACGGTACATGTATTCGTATTGAACCGAAACGGTACGGGCGTCACGGTTCGGTGCACGAATTTGCACGGAGAATACACGGTACAAATAAAAAAAAACCCTCTTAAATAGCGATAAATTTCGCTCTATTCGCTTTTAGTGTGACTGTGAACGCAGCAATGAACAGGCTGCGATCAAGATTGCAATGCTGGAGTGTGTGTGTGCGCGCGCGAGAGAGAGAGTCGCGATGAACAGTGTGTGTGTGTGTGTGTGCGAGAGAGAGAGAGAGAGAGAGGCACGATGAACAGTGTGTGTGTGCGAGAGAGAGAGGCGCGATGAACAGTGTGTGTGTGTGTGTGTGTGTGCGAGAGAGAGAGAGAGAGAGAGGCACGATGAACAGTGTGTGTGTGTGTGTGTGTGTGTGTGCGAGAGAGAGAGAGAGAGAGGCACGATGAACAGTGTGTGTGTGCGAGAGAGAGAGGCGCGGGCGCGAATCGCGCGATCGAACAGTGTGAGAGAGAGAGATAGGCAAGAGCGACCGAACAGTGGAAACATAAAAACATACTCCGTCATTTTTTTCATACAGGACATCGTTAAAACGGCAAATTGTTTACTTTTATTTGTGTACACTCACAATAAAACACAACATTGTGCTTTTGTCACACTCTAAACTCTTGTCGAACTGTAACCTACAACAGTTAACAAAAGTTTTTAATGGTAGTATTATTTTATACGGAAATCAATTATTTATAATTCAGATGAGAATAAAGTTAGGGTTAATTAAAATGAAGGAAAACAAATAGCCTATATTGATCTGAAATAGCAAATTAATTTTAAATTCATTCAGGTACAATTACCAAACATATCTCAAGGTCTTTTCGTCTTTTTAATAATTTAATTAATAAACTAATGATATAAAACTACTGTCAGTGCACTACAAATAAACTGGTTCTCTGCCTTTATTAATAAAACTTATTTAAAAAAATACAAGGCTTAAGACATTTATAAAAAAAGCCTTCTGCATTTTTGTTTTGCTTTTCCCTCCATTGTACCGAAATCATACCGAACCGTGACGTCTGAACCGAGGTATGAACCGAACCGTGACTTCTGTGTACCGTTCCACCCCTAATATATATATATATCTGTTTTGATAAACCCTTTGTAAATTCTTACTTGTAAATGTGGTCTGAAAGCATGAATTGATGTGCTCATGCTTTTTTAAAAATGTTTTTTAAATAAGTAATGTTGTCTGAAAAAAACATCTACCTGTTGACCAACTCAGGAGCGCAAAGTTTATGAATTATAGCAATCGCATTTAACCCTGCGTGAATCCTGCAGCCCAACAGCGCCCCCGCAGGTCAGGAGAGAAACTGTTGTATTGCATTTAGCACAGGTGGAAGAGTCGGGCTCGGACGTCCCACAGGAGGATCCGAGGGCCACCGCGGCCCCACCGCCCTCCATAATCCCCAGCCGCGGCACTGAATCTGGGGGCCCGTCGGGGCACGACACCCCGGCGGATCCTCCAGGATCCCCTCAAAAGGACTTTCACTCTGCGGTTCTGAAGGCTCTGGGCTGTGAGCCGGAGCGAGACGGGACGCCTGCAGGTACCCCTGCATCTGCCTGAGGAGGGCCTCTCTTTCTGGGGTGTATTCTGACTTTGCTGGGCTCTTTCTTTCTTTCTGCCTCTTGCTGTCCCCTGGTTTCAAACCTTGGTGATCCGACATGCTTTGTTCTCGCCCCAGCCTGCGTCCCATAAACCCCCTGCCCTGGATCTGTGGATCCAGACCCTCGTCAGCTCTTCCACTCGTAGTCCTGGCCTGAAATCAGCTCCTCCTCGCTGTCGTCTCCACTGGGACTCGCTCCTCTGCTTGTTGGGGTTTATTTGGATTCTTGTACTAATAAACCTGGCGGTGGCGTCTCTGAATCTGAACTGAGATTGACTAAATGTGGATGTGCTGATGGTGACAATCCTCCTTATGTCCTGTGTCTTGGTTCTTCAGTGGTTTTTTCAGTGGTTTATCTTTTTACTTTATAATACAGATGGATTTTACTGTTATAATAGCATTTATGCATTTGGAAAGAATCAAATACTAAATAGTGTGTATCATTAATATACAGTTTATTAATATTTTGAATTGGTGTTTTTTTATATATATTATCCGTTGTCGTTTTTAAATTTAGGTTTTTTTTTTACTATACATTTTAATTCTAATTAAAGTTTTAGTACTTTTTTTGTATTCGTTTTTTAGTGTACGGATTTAGTTTGTATTAATATTTTGAATTGGTGTTTATTTTTTATATTATCCATTTTCATTTTAGTTAAGATTTAGAACTATAATATACATGGATAATAAAAACCTAATAAAAATTATAGAGACTAGAGATTAAAAAACCTAATAAAAATTACAAACACAACAAAGTGTTTGTAATTTTTATTAGGTTTTTTAATCTCTATAGGTTTTATTCATTATTATTTATTTTTGAGTTATTTTAGTATATCAGCTTAAACTAAACAACAAGATGAAAACACAAACTGAAATAAAAGTTTTTCTATATATATATTTCATTTTATTTTAGTTAATGTTTATTTTATTTCAAGCAATGAAAAAAAATGTCTTATGGTTCTAGTTTTAGTTAACGATGATCGAGTCAGACATTATCAGACTTGCATGGAATATATTTTGCCAGTTTTTATCCACCTTATTCCTGCGCCCCATGATGCTTTGCGCAAATTATGATTGTAACTTCCGTTAAGCTGTAAACAATCAGTGAAAGGCTCGCTCTATGAACGCAATACGTTAAAGTGTCACAGTGAGATGACATTAATCGACTCACCCTTCAACCATCGAACATTAAAATGAAATTTTATAAGTTTAAAAGAATCAACAAGGCACTTTCAACAGACCAAAAATAGCCCCATAAGCGCAAGTCTTTGGTTAAATATCACTGTAGTAGGCAAATATATCTCTCTATTGTATAACAAGCCTTAATCAAAAATGTTCATTAACTTCAGCATTACGTGACACTTTATCAAAGTGATTTCCGTCATTTTGACAGAATATAAATTGCATTTACCTGTGAAAACAAACCTGGAAAGAAATTTGAGGAGAATAACGAGAGATTCTTCCTGCATCCAGTGAATTATTAATGTAAATTAATTTCGGGAGAACAGACCACAAATGTGCCGTATATGTTGTCCTTTTTCATACTTTTACAGCGGATTGCAAAGGAAAAAAAGAAAATCATCATGAGGAAAAGAAAGCAGCGACTGAAAAGAGCTCTCGCCGTAGATATTCTTGATATAACATGTCACGTTAAAATACCAAGTATGACGTTATTCTCATGATGTCTGAAAATAAATCATGAAGGAAAATCGGATCAGCTTTATTTGTAGGGCAACCTTATGATTTGAAATGATTCGTTTCAGCCTTTTTGAATGGAAGTTCCCTGCCACCCATAATTCAAAACGCAGTGAGGTCCTCAGGAAAAAGGTGGATAATCTTTTGTATATGCGTTTTACCATATTTACATGTATATTATCCATCAATCAATGTGTAAGAAATGTTGGATTTGGTCTTTTTTTGTAGCATGTCACTTACTTTGCTTGGTATTTTTGCAGTGTTGTGATGTCAGATCTGTGGTTTTGGCTTCCTGGTGAGGACTGGACTGTAATGATGCGTGTGCTGTTTGCAGGTCAGACTGCGGAGGTTGAAGATGGTCCAGTTCCCAGCAGCACCTGCACCCCCCCGAGCTCACCTGTGCGTGTGGAGGAAGGTACGTCTGTCCGCTCACACAGGCTCTCTCTCAGCATGAGCTGGCCAATGTCTGTCTGTATGTTTGGTAATTAACATTTTTAGGCATTTATTGCTGTTTGTAATAACAGACCAAAGGGCATCATTGATGTTTGGTTCATTTACCCCCCACAACTTCAAAATAAATTGGCCTGACACTTTCAGTTTGGTTTTTGAACAGCTGATTTAAATCCGTTTTAATGGAGGATTAATGACAAAATCTTTATTTTAAATCCAATTATTTTATTTCACACTCTTGGAGTTTCTGTTAGCTAATCCTTTTTTTAATCTTGTATTATTTTAATCATATTTAGTTTTTATTTTACCCTCTTGGTCTTTATTACAATGGATTACACCCATGTCATCAAAATAGGAGCTCTAGTAGTGAGATTACGTAAATAAACAATGCTTTATAGTGTTTATTTATAGGATGCACCAAAATTTTCACCTTTTTGACATTGACACCAATAGATGAGAATTAATTTATGAACAATAGGCCGATATTAAAAATAACTTTAAATGTAAAATAACTTTTCACATTTTACGCAAGCATGTTTTATTGACAAATTTCACCAGTGTTATTTATAACCAGTTAAATTTATATAGCTTTTTTTATTATTAGTTTTCATGTTAAATTTAGTTTTTTTTTTTAAATTGGTCTTTTTATGATGTGCTTTTGTCATTTTTTAAAATATTGCTATGTAGGTTTAATTTATTTTTTATTTCAGTAATACTTTTAACATTTTCAGTTTATTGCCAAGCAACATTTCACATTTTTCAACTAATATTTAGATTTTATTTTATTTCAGCTTTATTTCAATAGTTTTTATTTTAGCAAACGATATTATCCCTGAATTGCACTCGTTCTCCTTATGATATAGTCACTAGTAAATCATGTCGTTCTAGTAAAGTCATAGTATTTTACAGTGGGTCTGGATGTCAAAATAAACCTCAGATCCGTATAATCTCACAGTCACGAGCTGTGACGTAGCAGAACGTCCCACTGATATATTAACCCAGATCTGTCTCTTTAAACTCAGGTGTAATCCGACATGAGAAATGTCTTGTAAATCACCCGTCTTAAATGTTCTCACTCACCCTTCATGCTCATTTCTCCGGGGTCTTTAAGAATGGCTCGGCAACCATTCTTTACTTCTGGTGGCCTGTGTGTCTCTTTACGGTTTCTGTTCATTTCTTTTTAATTTAACCCGGTGGCTGTGATTTGATCTGCATAGACATTCTCTCTCTACTTGTGCTTTTTCTTCTTCGTGGCTGCGTCACAATCAGGAGATGGAAATGCAAAAGAGTACCTGTTACCATAGTAAGTACCTCACCTCCCCCCGCTTGAGTTTGCTGCACGGCTTCACTGGATCTCACTCCTCCGCTGTCTAACTCATCTCCCTGTCCTCTGCCTCTGGTTTGTTGTGAGGGATGGTTTACGCCGCTCAGCTCTAGTCAGTCGTACGCCAGATTACGGAAGTCAAATGGGTTGCAAATGGCATTTGAAATAAAGTGAAACTGCATTTGTAATGCATTTATCTTCTATAATGTGACCGATTTTATCCATCAGGATTTGAGTGGACTTTGACATATACATTTCCTGCATTTATTAATTTTAATGAGAAAATTTAAAGTGCCCCTATGCTATTCCTAGTTTTGTTTTAAAGGTCTCCTACAATACATGCATCCAAGGTAAAAAAAAAAAAAAGTTTTCTCATAATATATATTGCATATCACCTAATTTCGCAAAGAGTCTGAAACCGATTCGTCCGTAGATTCAGTCTCTCTAAACCCCGCCCTTCTGAGAGCTGCTCTCCTCTGATTGGCCAGAAACCCAACGCTCATTAGCATATCTGACTCTCAGCTCTTGCTCAGCACGTGGCGTGGGTTTTACCGTGTCAATCTCATCAGTGGATTTGCTTTGTCAGCAGAAAACAGCGTCTTCTCGACACGAACAACACGAACCAAACTCTTCCAGTCTCAGATACACTAGTGTTTGAGGGCGGAGCTAAGAGACGCTGTTCAGCCAATCAAAACCATAGACTTGCATTATGCAAATTTGTCACAGGAAGTGGCTTCGGAATTATTGACGACTCATTTCAACAGTTCAGAATCGATTCGTTCTTTTAGGAGACGATAACTTTATCTGCATAAAGTTTGATCTTTAAAACTTTGCAAACCTTTTACACTATTACACAATATTCGAAAAGGCATAATAGGGGCATTTTAAATAAAAACAAGTGAACCTGTTAGACTATGACGTTATTGATTAATTTGACTTTACCTTGATTTCCTTTATCTTATTATTATTATTATTATTGTTGTATCGATTCATATTGTATCGAACTGTCTGGAGTGCGGTGAGATCATGCTATAGCAACAAATCTTTCCCTAGAAACTTCTACACTCCTTTTCTACAAACTTTCCTCTTTCAACCTTTATAACAATAGCAAAGTTCTTTAATATGCCAATCCAGTATTGCTTTAGCAGAACAGGTAATGTATGAATATTACGCTTCTGGTGTGAATAATGTCTTCAACATCTCTTCTATTTCTCAGTTTATGACTGTGAAACGCTGCGGTGTGGTTTAAAGCGTGAGGTGGTTATAGATATCAGCCGGTAGTGAGCGTTACATATATGTGTGTCTTTATTCCTGGTGTTTGTTTGAGAGCTGAAATATCTCTGGATGTGTGTGTTATGTCAGTGTATGTGAGGATCAGAGTGTGTGTTTCGCCGCATGAACTGGATCGCTGCTGCTCTGATGTTTCTGATGGAGACTAAAATAACTGAATAATATATATTAGGATTTATTGAGTGACATATGCAAATTATAGGACGAGATATGCAGGTTTTACTGTATCAAGAGATTAGATCTGCTTTTAATGGTCTTTAATAGTTTGCAGATAGGGATGTTAATGCTTAATCGATTAATAATTCGAACAATTATTTGATTTAACAATAATTTATTTAAAACAGTTGTAAATCTAAATCAAAGTAGTGAATTAAAACAAAACCGATATCAATATTATATATTAAATTTAGTTTATCTACATAATGTACATTCAAATATTTATTACATTGTATAAAACTAATATTGTAATGATGCATGAAACAAAATGAATGTATGCATACTGTATAAATATATTGAAAATATGATTAAAATTGTAATACTCATTTATTGAGAATATATATATAAATATAAAAGTGCTATATAAAAGTATATATATAAAATTGATTAATCGCATGTAACATAAGTTTAATATATTATATATATATATATATATATACACACACACACACGTACACACAAATGTATACATGCAAACATTAGATCCGATTAATCGTGATTTGTCGATTTGACAGCACTTTTATATATATATTCTCAATAAATGAGAGTATTACAATTTTAATTATATTTTCAATATATTTTTTAGTTTATCTACATAATTTACATTAAAATATTTATTATATAAAACTAATATTGTAATGGTGCATGAAACAAAAATTAATGTATGCGTAGTTGCGTACTGTATAAATATATTCAAAATATGATTAAAATTGTAGTACGTGACATATTTACATATATGCTGAGATATATATATATATATATATATCAGCATATATGTAAATATATCATGTACACTTTTTTTTAAAGCATACATTTTTACTATTTACTATTACTATTTTACAAAATATTAAAATGTTTTCATATTTTAAAACTGAGATCCCTATTTTGCAAACTAGGCACAGTTTCTCAGGGTTCACTCTGAAATTGGTTGCTGTGTTTGCCCAGTACATCTAGTTTTTGTTAATTAGGTAATTGCATCGGGAAGTGTTTCATGATGCAGCAGTTTGCTGATTAAAGCTAGAGATCAGTGTGTGTCTGGAGATCAGCGTGTGTGTGTGTGTCTGGAGATCAGTGTGGCTTTGCAGGGATTTTATGGTCAGTTTCTCAGAAATGCTATTTTCACGCTTCATAAATGAAGAGCCAGAGTGTTGAGCGCTGAATTTCCCGCTGGGCGGTTTCCATGCCGTGAGCTGATCGACAAACTCACTGTGATCTTTCCCCTCGTCCTCCACAGAGGCACATCAGGAACAGACGTCTAAAGACGACAGTGACGCCGCCACTTTAAGACAGACCCTCCCCGATCTGACCCCCGATGAACCCTTCGAAGCCGCCGCCCTCCCCGCAGAAGACCCCGCCCCCGAACTGACTGACTCCGCCCCTCAACAAGAGGGGGAGGAGCCTGTCGCAGGCGATGATGCGGCTGGTGACCATGGCAGCGATGAATCACCAAACAAATCCCCTTCAAAGAAGAAGAAAAAGTTTCGCACCCCGTCTTTCCTGAAGAAAAACAAAAAGAAGTCTGAAACCCAGTGAGGAAGCTTGGCAATACCTTTCTTTAAATCGATTTGTTTTTGTACTGTGTCTGTTCACATTAATGCGTCGACCTTTTTATTACATTTTTATTCTTTTAGCAGTTCTGGCTGAGCGCTGAAGTGCACTTTACGGCAAAGTGCGGCTTGTTAATAAGCATGATCATCGGTCATCATCTCTGTTTTTATATAGAAGAAAAATGAATATGAATAACCACTATATAATGTATTGGAATGTATCAAATGTAATAGAGAAAAATGAATTCAAGTTGAAAATCCTCCTGGTGTTAAATTAAGATCTTTACTCCGCTGCATGTTTATAGTTTTTCAAATCATGTCTATAAACGCCTAAAAAACCGAATGATCTGGAGTGAAAATGCCTCATTTAATCCAGCAGTTTCACCTGACCAGGTTTACAAGAGTGTAAAACATGCTTATGATCATATTCTGATCAGCTTAAATTTGTTTTTGGATGGAAATCGACTCGTTGAATGAATTTTTGTAATGGACATGCAGTGCGAGGCATTGAGCGAATCTCACAAAACCTGTACCAACGTGTTTCTGTCTCACATTTCTCCCCAAAATCAAATAAAACAAACAAAAAAATTGTTTTGGATTGTGAAATTTTCATTTCAAATAATCAAATTCCCCCTAATTCCCATTTAATTCAAAATGACTGCGAAAAAAAAATATTTTTGGCCTGAAATCAAGGAGAATTGGAGTCAAAACGTGTGTAATTGCAATGAAAATTGTTATAATTTTTTGTAATATTTGGATGTAATGTAAAAGTTTTGTGAGATTCGCCCCACAAAGATGCGTTTCTGTGGCTTTACATGTCGGCGTCTGTAACTAAACCCAAAATACCTTTCGTCCTCCTGTGAAGGTTTGTTTTAAAACTGTGACTTTCATCCTGCAGTAATATGAATGACACGTTTGCTTTTGCTTTTATATATATATATATTTTGTAGTTATTTTTAGCTGTAGTTTATTTAGTTTCTACGAAGCCGCACATGACGTGGGGACAAAAATATGTATATCGTGGCCAAGAATGAACAATTAATTCCCATGACATACTAATACGTCCACTCATTTTACGTAAATCATGCTCACAATATAATAATTAGTTCCTATATATATATATATATATATATTTGTCCGCATGTCATGTTCGGGGCTCCGTAAGTTTCATTCAAAACACGTCAAGTAACTTTGACACTATCACTTGTCCTGTGTAGAACATCACTAACTAATCATTATTAAAGTTTCAAACAGCCACTGATGATTATGATTATGATGATATATGTGCGTGTTCTGGATTGGTTTACAGATGTCTGGTGTGTATTCACACACACACACACACTCCTGCGGTGTGTGTCTTTAGTAACACTGAAAGTTTTCACTCAACCATCCTGAATAACCACTAAAGCAACACGCTTCGAGATGGACGTCTAAATACTGAATCTCACAAAGGAACGTCTCATTCATATTTCAACCCAAATTTAAAAAAAGAAAAGCATCGTTTTTTGCGTATATGAAATTATCTATTTTTAAGACCCTTAAGATTTGATCCTGAAATCATGACCATAATGCAAAAAATATCCTCATCACTGTTATACAAAAATGATTGGTTGTTTATTAAAAAGTAGTGCAACACATACTTACTTTATGTATACTTACAGAACAAAATATTGTATATTTGTATTTTAGTAATGACATTTTTGAAGGAAAAAATGTGCAAAAAATCATGTTTTGTTTGAAAGTTGTCATTTTCATATTCGTTCTGTTGGTTTTGAGTTGAATTATGACTTGTGTGTTTCTTTGCAGTTTTCCTGAGATTCATCTGTTCTTGAATGAATAACCTGTGAACAATTCTCTATAACAAATTAAAATGTATAATAATAAGGCAGAAAGGAGTGAAATACTAACAATGTTTAACAGCGTCTGGGCTTGTGCAGATCTGCCTTCTGGAGCGATGCGACGCAGCTTTACACACTAAACTCTGAGTATCTGCGACTAACAGACACAACACACGAGTTGCTGAAGGACCGCATGGCATTATGGGCTTCAGCTTGTGTTGTTTGAGCTTCTCTGTTGATGTTCTTCTCAGCTGGTCTATTGATAACATTACTAAGTTAGATGGTTTTATTTGAACTCTTCATTTCCAGTTTCTGTTGAATCTATAAATGCTGTTCTTCTTTTTTTTCCAAAAGCAATTGTATGTAATACAATTTTAAAACCACAATACTTTTTTTTTTTTTTTCATGGTACTGTTTATTTTGCAACCATGAATAAAAATCCATCTTTAAAAACAGACATGATTTGAAGATTCATTTTTATAAATTACAATACATCGCATATATATACAGTATGTGGGACGCCTCATACCAACAAATCCCTTGCATTTTTTGCATAATTGGCCATAGGGGTGTCCCCGACTAAGGATTTTCATAGTCGAATCAGATTCATCAAGTCCTGCCTATAGTCGATTAATAGTCGAATCATGTGTGTGGTGTTGGGGAGGGGGCGGGGCTTTAACATTTTAAAGCCGCGATGTACAGAACATCACACAAAGATATAGAAGAAAATGTATAAAAACATTTTGGATCAATAAAACTAAGAAATAACATAAATAACTGCAGAAAGGCCACACTGCAGATAGGATTTGCATTTCACATGCAAATCAAATTAAATCGAATTGCCTGTACGAGCATGCTCTAAGTAAGCCTACAGCGCAACATTGATGCACTGAAAAATAATCAACAATTAAGAACACAATATACATTTATAATAAATACAATGGCGCCGCCAGGGGGTGGCCATGGCCACCCCTGGCCGACTCCTGGCCACCTCCTGGCCACAGTGGCGCCTCCAGAAATTTTTCATAGGGGTGGCCAGATGGGGCCACTTAAAATCTTGGGGTGGCACACCAAAACTATAAACCATAATTTCAGAATTTTATTCTACTGTTGTAGTAAACCGGCCTGTAGAAAACTATCAGAAAGACTTAAGGAAACTCCTACTGATATACTTTGGTTTATTGTGTTATATTTAATGTTAGCTTACTAATGATATTAGTAGGGCCCTACTAATATATATTATATTATATATATATATATATATATATATATATAATATATATCATTATATATAATATAATGAAATTTATATATATATAAATTTCCAGATACTTACATAATTGTGATGAATTTAATCCTTTTTAAGTTATTATTTTGCAGTGTAAGATTACAGTTAACACCTTTAAATATTACATAAATGTACTATAATTTTTTTTAATAAACTTAATGAGTGTATAAATCAGCAGCAAAAGGTAATTCTTGAAAAAATCAGAATTTTATAAAATCTAAATATGTTAATAAAAACAAATTACTATTAGTCCTCTTATAAAATTCAATCAGGCAATCATACATTTCACAATTTTATATTTATATATTAATGTCAAGAATTCAGAAGTGCATATATAGCCTACACTACAAAGAAATAATATACAATTAAATTATGCTTATTTTAAATGTATTGAGCAGGCTAGGTATAACAAAATATATTGGCTTTTAATAATATTTCAGTGCGCAAACCGATGATAACATGAAAAACAGAGCGCACACAGCGTGTATGCGCATCACGGGTGCAGAATGATGTGCTCAAAGCAACATGGTGACTCATAGCTGCCAACTCTCACGCATTGGCCGTGAGACACCCGCATTTGATTGGTTTCACACGCTCACACGCCACACTCCCGATTTCTCACGCTGAAGTGTCAACCCGGGCGGTCAAATGCCTGGAAGATGAGTTTATCTATATATCTACCTGTTGAGCCACTCGTGATCGACTAGTTATACCGCAAATTCGTTAAAAATCTCCCGTTATCTAGAGCGAACGTGCATGCGAGACAGAGATTGTGCTCCAAACCGCGTAGAGCGAGCGAGAGACCTTGCGCGAGCGAGAGACCTTGCGCGAGCGAGACCCCCCCCCCCCCCCCCGTCAACAAATCTCACTCGTCTCTAACCCCCCCCCCCCGTCAACAAATCTCACGCCGAGCAAAACTCAAAATTGGCAGGTATGGTGACTCTGTGTGCAGCGCTGCGCTGCATAAGTGCGCATTTAAAAGTTCACGTCACAAAGCGAAGAAATGTCGAGCGCACAAATCCTAGGGCGATTTGTTCCTTTGTTTCAGTTTTATATTCCAGTTATTGTGCGTTTGATGCCGATTCATAGTCCTTGTGATGTGTGTGTGATGATCTAGCAAGCACACGGTAGTGAGTCGTTTAAAAACAACAAACTCCAACAAAATAAAGTTATTTTATGCAAATCTACAGCCTTTTATCTACAGATTGTAATATTCAAGTTTGAATATCGATTTGTAATTCCCATATATGTTAGGGAGTTCCTGAATATATGCTCTAGGGGGCAGTGGGTGAAATATGTGTAAAGAAAGCTAGGAGGTGAATAAAAGAGGGGACCCGCATGTGAAAATGATCTGAGACTCTGGTCGTTTTTTGACTAAACAATACATGGTGTCAGAGTGAATCGCGAAGATGGATGCTGCCGGAGTGCCTGCACCGCGAATGGATTGGGAGTCACAGAATCTTCCCGATGCATGGCGAAAGTTTAAACAGCACGTTGAACTGATGTTTTCGGGGCCGTTTCGCCGCAAGGAGGAGACGGAGAAATGCAGCTACCTGCTCTTATGGATTGGAGAGAAAGGAGGGGATATCTATAACACATGGACTCTCACTGAGGATGAAGCTAAGTTGCTCAAAACTTACTACGACAAATTTGAAGCTTACGTAGTACCAAAGGCGAACCCAATTTTTGCCAGATACAAGTTTAATGAGAAAACGCAGTGCGCCACGGAACCATTTGATCAGTTCGTCACTGAACTCAGACTGCTCGTTAAAGATTGTGGCTACACTAATCCAGATGAGATGGTGAGAGACCGTGTCGTTTTCGGCATTTATTCCCCACATGTTCGGGAGAAATTACTCAATCAGGGTGCTGAACTAACATTAGAAAAAGCAATCGACACTGCCAGATCGCATGAGATTGCGCAGGCGCAGATGAAAAGTATGGCCACCGGCAGCATAAATGCAGAGCACGTGCAACAAGTGCACACTATAGGAAAGCATGCAAAAACGCGTCAGAGCTTTCAGAAAAACACAAAAAACAACAATGTGCACATAGAACGCCTCCAAATATGTGGATACTGCGGTAAAGAACACAAAAGGAGAGAGACATGCCCAGCAAAGGGAAAGCAGAGTGCGAAATGTGGAAAGTATAACCATTTTGCAAAGGTTTGCAAGTCAAAACCGAAATCTGTGCATTGTGTAAGTGAAAACAAACATGAAGATGCATACCCAGACGTGAGTAGTGAATTTTTTATTGACTGTGTCACAAATGCAAACACATTTACTTCATCAGAGCAAGCTTTTGCTGAGATTGAAATAGGAGAATACGGTTTGCCTTTGAAATTCAAACTGGACACGGGTGCTCTGGTTAATGTAATACCTCAAAGAGACTTAAAAAAATTTGCACTAAAAACAAAGATGCAGCAAACTCACAAAAAGCTCACAGGATACGGTGGACAG